AGTGTACCGAGGAAGTCAGAAGAGGGCGTCCGATCCCCTGAAACTGGAATTACAGTTGTTAGCCACTACGTGGGTGCTGAGAACCAAACCCGGGTCCTCTGCAAGAGTAGCCAGTCCTTAACCACTGAGCCATCTCTCCATCCCCTAACTTGTAATACTATAGCTAGGATTTCACCCAAAGCCATCAGGAATTACACCCTTTCCCTAGAAAGGCAGTTCTTTCAAAATACATCAAGCCAAAGAATCAGAATTGAAGCTTTTCATCACAGTTTGCAGTAAGAAGAGATAATCTAGATAAATTCCTTGCCTTCATTAAAACCCACCTTCCCCACTGATCAAGTTATTTCAACACGTGATAGAAGGCCTGGAGTGGTGGCATACATCTTTAATCCCAGCACTCAGGCAGAGGCTGGTAGATCTCTGCGAGGCCAGCCAGGGATAGATTATGAGACTGTTCTATAAAAAAAAAAAGAAAAAAAAGAGCTATACTTCATCAGCATCCCTCAATAAGATTTTACATACCTGAAAGGGTAAATGTCAGACACAGGACCTAGCTTGAAGAACTATCCATTGGCCAATTCTGGGATGTCAGCATAAAAATAGGAATTAACTTAGTAATAAGAGCAAACCACTTGCTAAAGATGGAATGGACACCCCCCCAAATTTGTATGCTAAAGCCTAATCCTAAGGTTATATTAGGTGAGGCTTTTGCAAGGTACTTATAGGTCATGAGGTAGTGCCCTCATCATGGGATTAGTGCTTGCCTCCTCACTTCTGAACCAATGAAGACACAAGAGGACCATCTGCAAAACTAGAAAGGCCTCACTCACCAGAACCTAACCACAATGGAATTCTAATCTTGGACTTTCTAGCCCCCAGAACTGTTCAAAGTTTAGTGTTTATGCTACCCAGTCGAAAATATTCTGTTATAGAATTACTACACTAAGATATAAACTAATTTTTAAAAATAGACAAAAGATTCAGAGCTGGAGAGACGGCTCAGTAGTTAAAAGCATTGGCTGCTCTTGCAGACAACTGCAGACAACCTGGGTTCAGTTCCTAGCAGCAGCTAACAACCGTCCTTAGCTCCAGGGAATCTGACAGTCCCCTTTGGGTCTCTGCGGGCATTGCCCCCCTCCGTCCCTAACTATTTACTACGTAAAATAGAAACCCGTACAGAAACATTCACAGCAGCTCTACCACTAAACACCAAAAGCTAGAAACAAACAAAATGTGCAAAAGAAAAAGGGATACATGTGATCCATCTAATACAGTGTAACATCAGAAATAAAAAGGAACTAACTTCAGACATATATAATCTTGGGTGAATCTTAATTGAGGCTAAATAAAGGGAAAAAAACTTAATGACCTACTGAATGATGTCATGTATTTATTTTGGAAGAAGCAAATTGTAAAATCAGAGGAAAATCAGGGAACAGGAGAAAGGTTTAAAACAAAGGGGTAGAACACAAGGATTTTTTTAAAGACTTATTTCTTAGAAATATTTATTTATATTTTATGTGTACGTGTGTGCCTGTACATATATACGTGCACCATGTGCGTGCCTTGTGCCCAAAGAGGCCAGAAGAGGGTGTCAGATCTCCTGGAACTAGAGTTACAGGCTACCTGACATGGGTTCTGGGAACCAAACTTGGGTCCTCAGAAGAACAAGAAGGGCTCTTAACGGCCAAGCCATCTTTCCAGCCCTGAGAACACAGACAGTTTTATCTTAGGGGTATGTGTGATGGAACCGATCTGTATTTTGGTTGTAGTGACTATGTAATCTGCACATTAGATTGGAATCTATATATCAAAAAATAAGTCTATCTCTAAGCTGAAAAAAATTTAATTCAAGTGAAAATAATTATTTCATACTAATTCAAGTAAAAACCCGAGAGTCTACATTGATTAAAAAACAAACAAAAACCCAACAACAAAACAGATACATGAAGGGACAGTCCTCTTATTGGAACAGGTTGAACATTAGCAATGCTGAAGGTGTGGGAGCATCTGGACTCGGGGCTGCACAGGCTTCCTACAGTAATGCACTGAGCTTGGCATCACTTTCAAGCAGCCCTGCCAAAAGGACAAACCTGAAATCTAATCACAGGAGAACGATACAAAGCCAAACTGAGGTCATTCTATAACTGTCTTGGATTCTTCAAAAATGTCAATTAAATAAAATATACTCCCAAGAACAGGATCAGATTCAAAAGGTATGAGAAGTCAATGAAACCCAGAATTTTACCTTTCAGTTTTCCATAAAGAATTTTATGGGAACAAATGACAAGACCCCAACAGGATACTGAACGAGAAAAGTTTTGAGTCAATGTTAATTTTCTGATTTGAATGTTGTGTTATTCTAGAGAATTGCTTGCTTTTAGGATGAAAACTGTAGTATCTGGCAGGGTTGTCCAACCTCTGGATACCATAACATGATGTTGGTCTACAAACATATTGGGCCAAAATCATGGCTATCCTGGGATGCATGCTGCCCATGGGCCAGGCATGTCTATGGTCCAAAAGGTACCACTATCCATCTTGCGGGGCGGTGCTGCTGCTGCTGGGCATTCAATCCAGGGTTTGAGCATGAGTTCTCTCCAACTCCCAGCCATATACTCAAATGGTTAGACTAAAATCTAGTGAGAAGGAAACAAAAAGGCAAAGAAGTAAAATGTTTCATTTGCCAAGTCAGGGTAAAGGTTATCCAGGAGATCTTTGTACTCACTCTTGTACCTTCCTGTAAATCTGAAGTTATGGGAAAATAGAAGTTATTTTTTTAAAAGTCCCTTGGGCTAGAAGTCACAGGCAAGAAAGCTAAAATAACAAATCAAGTACTCTAAGAACAGAACAACATGAATACATTTACTCAAATGTATTCACAGAATACAGAATAAAGAGAGAGATTGGTAGAGTAAGAATAGAGAGAAAACCGGCATTCACTTAGTACCAAGCAAGGAGGCATTCCCTAGAGTTCTTCGTTCTTCGATTTCTACATTCTACTAGGGCAAGGTGTCGGCTTAATGCTATTAAGCATCTCAATTACAGTACTAGGGAATCAAACCTGGGGCCTCACACATCTAGCCCTAAGGGGCAAGTGCTCTACCACTGTACTAAATCCACAGCCCTCCCCCGCCTCGCCCCCAGCTGCTTACTGAAGTAAAATAAAAAACTGTACAGAAGTGTTCACAGCAATGTTACTGCTAAGCATGAAAAGCTGGAAACAAGTCAAATGTGCAACAGAGGCAACTCTCCATCAACTCATTCTTTGCTCATCAGACTTCTGACTATAAAACACCAGCTTCCACATGCAGATCTTCTACATCAATATCATACCAACATACAGATCTACTACATACAATAACAATCATACCAACTTACAGATCTGCTTATAAATCAACTACTTGGTGCCATTTGATCAGTATCTGCTTTCCCAACCCACTAACAACCCTGGGACAGCACTGAGAGTACCCTGACACCCTCAAGCCTCAAGTATGGGAACCATACTGGAATGGTAGATTTATCAACTTTCTTAACTCTGCAGGCTCTTGGTATTTTTTCTCAAAAAAGACTAAAGTTAGCAGGAAACTAAATTTTCAGTGGGAAAATCATGCAAGTCCTTAAATAACAATTATACTTTGGGAAACTGCATGAGATACTTTTTTTCCCCCTTAATCTTTTTGACACAGGGTCTCCCTGTAGCCCCTGCTGGCCTGGGACTCTCTATGTAGCCCAGGCTAGCCTTGTGCACCACCATGCCCAGCTTGTTTTGTATAAAAAAGAATGTTGTCTGTTTCTTAAAATCTTGACATAGAAGAGGTAAAAACAGACAAGTGAGAACTTGCTATGACCAAGCTCACCTCTGAAGAAAGGCCACCCCCTTCATAAACAGAGTGTGCCTTTTAGATCCACAACTTTAACTGACCATGCAAGCAGAAATAGAGGACTATAGAAAGTTTAGGCCTTTTTTTCTAACTTCAAAACCTGGGGAGTTCAATCCTAAGAAAGACAATGTTCCACTGTGCACTTGGCTCCATCTCTTTATCTAGTGGCATGCATAGAAAAAAGGAAACAGCACGTGGTACAGTGTATTCAGAAAATCTGATCTTGCTTACAGAAACAGGGTCATAAAACTTTAGAATGCTTTAAAACCCAAGCTAAGACTCTTCTTTCAGTGTGAAAGGCGTTCCTCAATCAAATCTTTTTTTCAGTTTTATAAAATGTGTTCCTGAGCCAGGCTTGGCAGTGCAGACCTTTAGTCCTAGAATTCGGGAGGCAGAGGCAGGCGGATCTCTGTGAGATCGAGGTCAGCCTGTTCTACACAGCAAGTTCCAGGTCAGCTGGGGCTACTGGCAGACCCTGTCTCAAAAAAGACCAAAAAAAAAAAAAAGTTCCTTATCAATTTTTCTTATTTCATAATCTACAATCACATCTTGGTGACAGTGATGTAATATGTTCAATGACAATGACAGAAACTTAACAGACAAAAAGTCTTCCTTCTCAATTTGCAAACAAAATGTTAAAAGCTTTATCTTTGATACAAAAAGATGTTTTTATAAGCAAGCTACTGCTTTAAGCTGCTAGCCAAGGTAGAATCAACAAAAACCCAAACTGTTACTTAACCTTTATAAAACTTGTCTGTTTGCTGCAAATACGTATACATTTTAAATGTATTTCTTTCTACTACAATAAAAAATTAAAATAGCTCTCAGTTTAAAAGCTTTTGCAGGACTGAGGTTGTAGTTCACTGTCACAGCACCAATTTTGCAAGAACAAGGCCCTAGGTTTGATCTCTGGAAGGGGGGAAGGGCGATAAAGATGCTAATTCTATAAAGAAGATTAACCTTCCTGACTGTCCAGTAATAAACTAAACCCTCACTTTGCTACTCCAAGGAATAAAAGTGATCTAAAGTGAATCAAAATGCATAATGAGTTCATATTAAAAGTGATTCTTCATACTTATTTTTCACATGCTTATTCATAAACCAATCAATACAAAACAGATGTAAAAGGTTGTTTAATGCTTGACTATTACTTAGTTAACATCCAAGGAATCCTAACTTTTGAGCATTTAAATTCAGCTATAGTATGTGAAATACTAGTGTCTCTTATGTTAAAAAGCAAACTGAAAAAACTGCAAACATAAATGGCCTAAATATCAGTAATAATTATACTCTAATCTTTTACTATTTAAAATGTCAAAGCTATAAAACCTTTTCCGTGCTTTTAAGTGCACAATGAAAACAGTCATATTTATTTAAGTTTAAGACTAAATTTCTCCTCTCAAAATATAGAGGCATACATGTAAAATACAATAGAGATTATTCTGTCCAACTTCCTGAGGCCAGAGTCACGCAGACAGCATACAACATGATCTCATCATGGCATCATTGGTGCCCCTTCTTCACCAGTAGCATCACGGGAAATATGAAGGTCTTCAAGCATCTCAGTCAAACTAATTCGAGGTGCTCCTTCATCATCTGTGTCGCTTTCCACAGGGATGGTTGGATCTAAGAAAACACGGGAGGAAGGTTTCAAATATACATAAAATGGAAATACACATGGAAATGTACAGGCGCCCACCCCAAGCGTCACTGGTACTAATCAGCTATGCTACAGTAGAAGCTCTTAGATACTAGAGTGGCTTTCAAATTCTTGCTGAATAAATGAACCACACGCAGGAGGCTAGAAACTTAAAGGATCAGACTAGGATGAAATGACATCCAATGTATACAACAAACAACTTTTAAAAACCAAAGATTAAAATACCAAACACTATCACTGGTGCTACCTATAGCATATACTTATATACTCTTAAAACACCAACCTCTGTAAATATTGATATTTTTTCTAATTGCCTCATCTTCTTCAAGATCTTCAAGGAAATCTTGATATTGCCTGTAAGACAGAGAAACTTTCATCACAGCAAGGTAAAAACTTCAAAGTATAATGATACTCAAAAAAGTCAAAATTGAAAGTTAAGTATTGATATGCTGGAAAATTAATTTTCTCACAAAATTATATAACAGCTGAATATAAGGTGGTGTTAATACAAGACAATGAGAAAACAGTTCTACCCTCCACTCTGCCCTCCCCATCTGATTCTCAGGGACAAGGTGAAACACACAGGCTTCTTAAGGCTTTGGTTGATTTGGGGTTTTATACTTTATTTTTAAAAGATTTATTTGTGTGTGTGTGTGTGTGTGTGTGTGTGAGAGAGA